GAGGCGTCCCACCAAAATCGGCGCGAACGGGCTCGTGAGATCAGCCAGGGTGGCTCCCCCTTGGGGCTCCCAAATGATGCCCCTGGCAGCGTTTTGTGACCATGAGGCTCTCAAGAGATACATGTTGGGGAGGCCAAACGGCAATTCTAGCTGAGACGTCCCACCAAAATCGGCGCGAACGGGCTCGTGAGATCAGCCAGGGTGGCTCCCCCTTGGGGCTCCCAAATGATGCCCCTGGCAGCGTTTTGTGATCATGAGAGAGTGTGAGTGTGAGTGAATGTGACTGTGAGTGAGTCTGAGTGAGAGCGAGTCTCATCTTATATTATCGAGTCCTATCTTATCTTACCTTTATTACCCTCTATCTTATCTTATCTTGAAATCTCTTATCCTGTCTTAGCTTATCTTATGTCAACTCATCTTATCGCATCATATATTGTCTTATCTTATTACGCCATAGGCTGTCTTATCTTATATATTATCCTACCTTGTCATATATCTTATCTTACCTTATCATATATTGTGCTGTCTTATCTTATCTTGTAGTATCTTATCTTGTCTTGTCTTATCTGGTGATTATCACTGGGAGGATGGAGGCGCGAGCGGGAGGAAGGAGTCCGCGCGTGGGAGGCGCCAGAGTAATAACAAGAACCCCAATCCTTAGGATATGGGGAAAAACCGAGGGAAAACCCGAAAACGGCCACTAGACCGCAGTTGTGCAGGCCTCGCCCCCCGCTGCACTCCCCCTAAGGGGCTTCGCCCACACCAGAACGTCATCACTCGTACATCGCTCTTTCCGATATCCCGCAGGGTTTTGCAGGATCTTGCAAGGCCTGACTGACCTGGGTGTGCATTGAACCTGGCCAGCAGATCCCCGACGTTGCCGGTATCCGGACGATCCGATGTGGCCCGGTGTTGGCATGGGTTTGTTGTGCATATTTCGGGGGTGGACAGAACCCCCAACAGTGACACGTCGATTAGTGAATTGTCCGTTTTCGGTTCTCGAGAGGGCGCCGTGGCCGTTGTTTTCCAGGCCTGCGCCCGCCAGGTTTGGGCTTCAGGTCGTTTTCACTAAACCACGTTTTACTAAAGGGAGGTCTGTCCAACCCCGAATATTGGCGAGGTCGGTATGATTTGATTCGGGCTCCGTGCCGACGCGGCCCGATCCGACGCACGTTCCGATACGATCGGGTTTCCCGATGCTATACTGATTGATCTTGGGGTCGGTGGGTCATGGGCCCCCCCCGAGGCAAGCTCAAGAACAACTGCTCGCAGCCGACGCTCACGCTCATCACATCGCCCATGCGGGGGGGGGATGGGGCAAAGGGTTGCTCACCGTGTCGCGTCGGTGGCCCTTGCGACACGCCATGCTGTGAACGTTGGCATGTGGTAGTGGGCCGCCCTTGAGGTTGCGTTCCAAGTGAAAAACGCGCCAAGTTGGAGGTCTAGGATTAAGTCGGGCCTGTCCCTCTACAGGATGGAAATTCAAATTTCGCAAAAAAATAGTATGGGGACGGTTTTCTGACGATATTTGAGCATGTTGGGGGTATTGTTTGAGTACTTTGAATTGTTCGCCCAAATCCCCCTGTAGTGGGACAGGCCCGACCTAAGTCCAGGAACACTCAGGGAGCTGGCAGCTTGCCGTGCCGAAGCGTGGTGGGCCAGGACCCCCTGGCGCGACACGATGGGCAGCAGCTCTCTACCGCAAGCATCCGGGGGCGTCCAAGAGGGGGTTGACGACTAGGGGTGGGGCGGATATCGTTGCCGTGGCCATGAGATCTCCCAGGTGCCATGGCCCCTTCTCTTTCAATTTGTCCCCTGACCCCCCCCACTGCTTTCTGGCCGGATTTCGCAGCGACTGGCGGTGGCGACGAGGGAAGAATAACGGTATCGATGATCCTCCTCCTCCTCTTCCTTCTCCTGCTCCTCCAACCCCTCCTCCTTCTCATCCTTCTCCTCCTCCTCCTTCTCCTCCTGTTCCTACTCATGCTCCTCCTCCTCCTCCTCATCCTCCTCCTCTCCATTCTCCTGTTCTGAGACAAACAGCCTCCTTCTCCTCGCGCATGCCTCTGGCCATGATGCGCTACCCCCCTCTGACCAGCCGCCTCTTCGGCGCACTCGGGAGGAGCATGGGGGCGCCGGAGGAGGGGACGCCAGAGCTCGAGGAGAAACTGGAGGAGAAAGAGCATATCGGCGGCGAGCCCAGGGGGGAAGTGAGAAGGAGAAGGCCTTCTCAGAAGGTTCGGACGTCCCCCAGACGTCTGAGAAGTTGTCTAAGCCTTCCCCGAAGAGAGCGAGCACTTCTCAGAAGGCGCGAGGGCTTCTGAGAAGGACCGCCGCCTTCTGGGGAGGCCTTCTCCTTCTCACGTCCTCCATGGGCGCGCCGCCAAGCACAGGCATGAGGACGAGAAGGGGGCGGTGCAGGAGGAAGGACGAGCTGGACGAGAGAGCGGATAAGGAGGAAAGTGGACATCAAAAGTCGGACGAGACGAGGAGGAGCAGAGTGCGCGGTTGTACGTTGCGTGCCGTGCAGCATGTTCCGTGTTACGTGGATTGCGCGCGTGTGTTGTGCCAAAGGCCCCGTTGTTGGGACCTCGCCCTGGACGGAACTGTGTTGTTCCCATTCTCTCCCGCGCGTTCCCTTCCTCGCTGCCCTTCGCTTCCTCCTCGCGTCTTCCTCTATTCCCTGACCTTTCCCTTGGTGGTGAGAGGCTTGCAACTGTCGCAACATCTGGATAACTAACTGTCGCCACTGTCGTGAGCGTCCAGGGTGCGGTCTTGAACGTACCCAGGCTGGACCTCCCCTCCCTGGGTGCTGCCGATGCCGTGAGCTCCTGAGAGATGCAGCGGAGTGCGGTCTCCCACAGACCCAGACCGGACCTCCCCTCGCTGCGTGGATGCCCGTTGAGCAGGTGCAGCCAAAGCCGTGAGCCCATGGGAAGCGAAGTGGAGCGCGGTCGCCAACGGACCCAGGCGGGCCCTCCCCTCGCTGCGTGGATGCCAGTTGAGCAGGTGCAGCCAGGGTCGTGAGCTCAGGGGAAGCGAAGCGGAGCGCGGTCGTCGACGGAGCTGTGCGGGCCCGCCCCTCCCTGGGTGCCGCCCCGGGCGCAAAATGTCGCCGTGCTCGTCTTGGCTCAAAGGGAGACGCGGCGGGGTGCAATCTTCGACAGACCCAGGCTGGGTACACCTTAGGCGATGCTTAAGAAAGCTTGAGTTTTCGGCCAGAGTCTCGATTGTTCTTCATGTTTCAATGTAGATCATAAGATGTTGATAGAAATTCTGTTTTTGTTACTCAAGTTCTGAGACTATGAGTTTCTGAGCCCATGATTTCTTAAGCATTTCGCAGGGTGTATTCCCTCCCTGGGTATTGCCAACTGCGCAGCTGTGGACAAACTCATGGGCTCTTGGGAGGCGAAGCAGACGCGGTCGTCTACGCACCCTGGCTTGACCCTTCCCTCCCTGGAGTTTTTGAGAATTTCAGAAGTGTCGCCAATGACGTGAGCCAGTGGGAGATGAAGGGGAGTGCGCTCTTAAACGGACCAAGGAGGGACCTCCCCTCCCTGGGTGCTGCCAACTGCGCAGCTGTCGCCGATTCCGTGGGCCCCTGGGAGGTGCATCGGGGTGTTGCCCTTAACGAACTCAGACTGGTCCTCCCCTCCCTGGGTGCTGCCTCTCGCGCAACTGTCGCCAATCCGCGGGCCCCTGGGAGAGGTGCATTGGGGTGCTGCCTTTCGGGCCGGGCCTCCCCTCCCTGGGTGGCGCCACTCGCGCGCACCGTCGCCAACTCCGCGGGCCCCTTGGAGGATCAGCGTCGTGCGGTCCCGGGCGGACCCGGACTGGATTTCTCATCCCCGGGTTCTGCCACTCGCCTGCCGATGCCCTCCTCGTTCGCCCTCCGCGGCCGCGCCTCGCCTCCCTCCCCCACTCTTGCCGCCGGGCAGTTCGTGCTTCTGCTGCGCTGCGACGGAGAAGGTTGCCAGTGTGGTGGGGGCGCGCATCAAGAAACCATCTGCTTTTCGTCAGGGTGCCCTGAGTCTCTTCGCTCCCCGCGCCGCGCGGTGGCTTCCCGCGGCCGGGGTCGGAGCGGCTGCGTTCAGAGTGCTCCGGGTTTCCCCTCAGGTGCACTTCGCGCGCGGGTTCTCAGGGTTGGAACTCTTGCGAGGGTTTCTTGCGGCCGCGCCCGGACTGCATGGGAGGTGCAGCGGCGTGCGGTGCTCAACGAAACCAGGCCAGATTTCCTTTCCCTGGCTTCTGTCAGCTGCACATCTGCCACCAGTGTCGTGGGCGCGTGGGAGGTGCAGCGAAGTGCGGTGTTCAACGAACCCAGGCCGGACTTCCCCTCCCTGGGCGGTGCCACTCGCGCAACCGTCGCCGCCAGCGTTGTCAGCCCAAGGTGGGTGAATCGGAGCGCGGTCTTCAACGGACCCAGGCAGGACCTCCGCTCCCTGGGTGATGCCAACTGCGCAAGTGTCGGCAGCTTCGTGAGCTCACGGAAGGTGGAGGCAGCGAGGTTCTAAGTGGAGCCAGGCGGGACCTCCGTTTTTTGGGTGTTGCCAACCGCGCCATTGTCACCAGTTTCGTGAGCTCCTGGGAGGTGCAACGGACTGGGGCTTTCCAAACGAATGCAGACGGAACCTCCCTTCTGTGGGTGCCACCAATTGCGCAGCTGTCGCCAATATCTTGAGTTCCTTGGAGGTGCAGAGGCGTGCGGTCTTAGACTAACCCAGACTGTCGCAGGCCTAGAGGTTGACACCAATACCAATATCGGCGGGGCGCCTCCACCGAGGGAAGAAGATCCCGATCTCGGCGATGGCGGTAAGACCCTGGCTTCCAAGGTGGCCGAAATATTACCACCAACACTGAAATCCAGGCGCATCTTCCCCCTGTGGAGGCAGACCCCTGTGTTGGTGTTGGTGCCCATTTCCAGGCCTCCACGACTTAGCCTCCCGTTCGCTAGATGTTGTCAACCGCGCAACCGTCGCCAATGCCGTGGGCTTCTGGGAGGCGCAGCGGCGTGCGCAGTCCTGGACGAACCCAGACGGAGCCGCCACTCTCCGAGCGCTGCCAGCTGCGCAACCGTCGCCGACGTCGTGGGCTCCCTGGAGGTGCAGCGGGGTGCGGTCTCGAGCAAACCCCGGGCCGGACCTCGCCTCCCCGGGCCTCGCCTCTCGGCCTCGCTCTTCGCGCGTCCCTCCCCTCCCTTCGCGCGCGGTCTGCTCCTCCCCGCCACACCAGAGAGGCACGCGTGAGCATCAATCGTTGCGTTGCACAGCTCGCACCTCGGATGCCGGCAAAGACGGGGACCCCGCCCACATGCGCGTGCACGCGCCCATGGGTTGCCGCAGCCTGCAGGTCTACCGGACCTGAGCTGGGGAGGTCCTCCCCACCTTGGGCGTGGTCAGCTTCGAAATTGTTGCCACGTCCGTGATCTCCTGGGCATCGGGGTGACGTCTTTCGTCGTCAGTGCACTGTCCCTCGGCTGAGGCTGGCAATGGCTCATGTTCACTCGTCTTGGGTTAGCCGCGTGATATTGCCACTTTTGCAGACGTTGGGTACGTCGGTTTGCAATTACTTCGTTGGATAGTGCGTTGAAGGGTTCTTCTTTGCCTCCAGCTGCGTTGTCCCTGTTTTGCCGGATGTTGGTGCAATGCGTGATCGGTTGTGTTGTTGCCCCGCTCTCGTGGGGGCTTCATCGTGGGACCGTGTCATGGTCCCACCGCATGACGTGGTCTGCAGGCCCGCGGGTGGTCTCAGGGTCGTCTCGGGCGCGATTGCTCGACCGAGCTTGTTCCGAAGGGGCTCGAGCGAGCCATCGTGGGGAAGTCTGGCCGGGTTTGGGGGGCACTCGCGGGCCACGTTGAGCCTTGTCGGGGCGACCGTGGACCCGTCTTGAGGGCTCGCGGGCGGTTTGGATGCCCTCTCGGGGGCGGTCGCGGGCCGCCTTCGGGGCCGCGTTGGGCTCTCCGAGACCTCCCCGGGGCGCTCGGGGGCCGAAGAGGTTCCGAAGCAAGAGGCTCCGGCACAGTCCTTCGGGGCCACGGCCTTCACAGCGTGGGGCCTCTGCGGACCTCGCGCCAGGGGCCAGGTCGGGCGGCTCTTCGGGGCGCACGGGGGCATCTTAGATACACGCCGCCAAGGAGTACAGCACTCCGCGTCGTGCAGGCACCTGGCATCGCTCGGACGTGTGCGTTTTTTCTCGGCGAGGGCCATCGAGGAGCATCCTTGATCATGTGGCGAAAAACCACGCACGAAAACAAAAAAAGCACAGGGAATGGACGTCCGAGCGATGGCCAGGGCACGGTTGCGGGTATTGACAGCGGGCGAGCGCGTTACAGCAGCACGCGATGTTGTTAGTGCTTGTGTTGCGCGGGTGAATGCGTTCGTGTGTGCGCTTGTGGGGGCGTGTGCGTGCGTTTGTGTGCGTTTGCTTGACTGTGCCTGCGTGTGCGCGAGTGGTTCTGTTCACTCGTTGTTCAGGATGCCATGCTCCCCGCGGGGTGGATGCGCACGATAGACTATGTACGGGAAACAGAGCGTGGTGTTGTGTGTGTTGTTCGCATAGTTGACATATTATGTGCGAGTAGCGACCCATGTGACCGAGCTGTGTAACACGCGCTCGCAGTGAGTTCAAGAGCAAGTCCCTACGTCGCAGCCTAGTGGGCACCTGCTGCAGATGGCGTGGAGGTCTGAGATCACCCTGGAGAACCACGACCGGATCCTCGCGGGTATACCAGAGGGAGTCGAGTATTATTTTTGGGTGTTCCCCCTGAACCAGGACCTTCGCCTCCTGCACGTGCAAGGGAGGGGAGGAGGGGAAGGAGAAGGAGGGAGGAGGGAGGAGGGAGGGACCAGGACTGCTCGCGAATTGCTGAAAACCAGATGAGAACGGGAGGTGGCCGACCCGTCGGGGCTCTCTTGCAGACTAGTGGGTCTTGAGTGTCCGATTTCCTACAAACGATGGCTGGAAGGAAAGATTCCAGGGAGAGTCGCGAAAAGTGTGCTGAAGGATGGCTTCTTTGCGTCAGGGGTGTACTCTGCTGGTTCGCCAGGCGAGGTTGTGCAGCACGACGCTGTGGACCATTGTGGACTGGCTCGTGACTCTGTTGCACAAAGTTGTGCTGGCCAGCGTTGGCAGAGCCGTGCTGCGCAAGGAGGATTCTGGAAATGCGTTTTGAAACGCTGCCCCTCACCACTTCGCACATGAACTGGAAGCCGGTGGTAAAATGTCAACCTTGGTTACCGCCAGGACCTCGTAGAGCTTCTTTGCCATGTACAGGAATGGCATGCGAGCGCGGCAATCTCGCATTAAGCGCGCGCGAGGGTGTGCGGTTTCACAGAAATGTGTTTGACAGCTCCTTGCTTGTCCACAGCTCGAGTTCAGTTGAGACAAACATCCACGCAAGTACACGACATAAGGTGAAAAGATGTTTCCATAATAGATGTAAAGCTTAAGAAGATATCGTCATGTGTAGAGCATGCGAGCTTGGGAGCTGTTTGCACATCACAAATAGTTTGTCGGTCGCAGCTCTGGTAGCAGACCGGCATCCGACGTCTCGAAACTGCAGATTAGCGTTCGTGATATTTTCCATTCAAACAGTCTGCTTCCCAGCTCCGTAGCTTGCTCGAGCTAAGTAGAGAAAACCAACACCGCCTACTAAAATTTGAAGAGCGCGAATATGTGTTTGGTCGCAGCTCTGGTAGCAGACCGAACTTGACCGTCTGGATGCTTTGAGCTAGCGCTGCTCAGCATTCCCTGCCGATTGGTGTATATCTGAGCTTTGTAGCTAGCCTGCAGCTCGAATTAAGCACAGAAAACAAGCATCATCTCTCACAAGAAATTGCAGAGTGCGAGTAGCTTTTCAGTCGTAGCCCTGGTAGCAGACCAATCTCAGACGTCCCGATGCTGTAGGCGACTGTGTATGATAATTCCTTGTTCAACCGTGTGTGTCACAGCTTCCTGACTTGCCTACAACTCGAATTGAGTGCACAAACAGCACGATCTCTCATATGATGAAAGAGTGCATATAGTTATGTGGTCGCAGTTCTGGTAGCAGACCGATCCCAGGCGTCTGGATACTCCTAGACGGGTGCTCCTCATCATTTTCTGTCGATTGCTGTGCGTATCAGCTCCGTTGCTGGCCTGCTGTGCTGGCCAGCGTTGGCGGAGCCGTGCTGCGCAAGGAGGATGATGCAAATGCGTCTTGAAACGCTGCCCCTCACCATCTCGCATATGCATTTCGCAGGAGGAGGAGGCGGAGGAGGAGGAGGAGGAGGAGGAGGAGGAGGAGGTAGAGAGAGGAGGAGGTGGGAGGAGGAGGAGGGAGGAGGAGGAGGAGAGGAAGGAAGGAGGAAGGAAGGCGGAAGAGGCGGGGAGGAGGAGGAGGAGGAGGAGGAGGAGGAGGAGGAGGAGGAGGAGGAGGCGAATGAGGAGGAGGAGGAGGAGGAGGAGGAGGAGGATAAGTAGGAAGGAGGAAGGGGGGAGGAGGAGGAGGAGGAGGAGGAGGAGGAGGAGGAGGAGCAGGAGGAGGAGGAGGAGGAGCAGGAGGAAGAAGGATCAGTTGCGAAGCGTCCTGGCTCGCCGATAGCCCCTACCAAACCATGTTCTAAGTGCGTTTTGTGGTTCCCACGACATGTTCTTAGAACATGTCCGGCGGAGTTCGTCTTGCTTTATCACATCGGGCTTGTGTTCTAAGAACCGTGTTTTCGTTATTTTAAAATCTGTGGGTTTGGTAGGACGATAGGAATGCCGGGACGGTCGGTCCCTGCACAAAAAGGATGGGGATGACTAGCGGGGGGGGGGTATCAGGGCGGGGGCCATGATCTTTTCTCAGATTTCATGGCGCCTCTTCCTATTTCAGTACGTCCCCGGCCCCCCCTCTGGGCCGCGCACGCGCCGGCGGCCATGATTTGCGCCCCCCCATCTTATTGGACGCCCCCCTCTTGGCCGCCCCGGGGCCCAGGGACACACAAGTAAATACACACGAATCCCAGGATGCACCATCTTCTCCCATATTTTCTGGGGTTGCGCCTTCCCCCACACGCTTCCACATTTTGCCATATCTTCGAGGGAATCGACGATTCATTGTGTCCGTGTGCTTCTTCCCCTCCTGACCTTCCCGCTCGGTCCCCCCTCCCCCCCCAATGCCTCCCTCGCCCTCTGCCCGTCGGCCGCGTCCGCCTTCCCCGTCCCCAGCGCCCGCCCGCCCCGCGGCCCGTCGGCCGTCGGGAGGACGCGCGCTCCTTCCGTGCCTTTCGGGCCGAACGAAGGGGGGGGATGGGGAAAGAGGGGGGTGATGACTAATTAGGGGGGGGGTATCATGGCGTGGGCCATGATATTTCCCCCGTTCTCATGGCGCTTCTTCTTATTTCATTACGTCCCTGGCCCCCCCGCTGGGCCGCGCACATGCCGCCGGTCATGATTTGCACCCCCCCTCTTGGACACCCCCCTCTTGACCGCTCCCGAGCGTTCGTTCCGTGCCTTTCGGGCCGACCTCCGGAGGCGCCGGGAACATCAGCTACACGTGAGCTGGTTCTCACCCCCCCCTTTGCTATCCCCCCTTTCGCCCGGCCCGAGCTTTGTTCCCCGCTGCCTCTCGGAGGTTGACAGGCCTCCTACCCTGACGCGTCGATTCGCGAATTGGCCGTTTCCAGTTCGCGCGAGGGCGTCGCGGCCGTCGTTTTTGCGGCTCCAGGTGCGTCGGTTCCGGCCCTGGGCCGTTCTCGCTGAAGGGTGGTTTATTGAAGGGAGGTCTGTCCACCGCCGATTCCTCCCCCCTCTCCGCCGCCTCCCCGTGGAGCATGAGCCGACGCATGAAGAACAGGGGCACCAATAATTACCCAAGCCCACATCGACCCTCCCTTCCTTCAGGAGGGTAAAAAACACACAGACACAATTAATCGTCGACTCCCAGGAAAATATGGGAAAACATGGGAAGTGTGGGGGAAGACAGAAACCTAGAAAATGTTGGAAACTATCGGGAATCCTGTTATTTGTGTTTATTTATTTGTGTGTCCCAGGGCCCCTTCATTCTTCTTTGGTGTGCAATCCCCCCAATCCGGGACGACTCGCGGTGGCCATGCTCCATCACCCGTGCCCCCTCCCCGCCACGGCGCCGCAGGAGCGGTCAGAGCTCACCTCCCTCTCGGCGCGGGAGCGCGTGCACCCGCTGGCGCAGTTTCTGTTCCAGGGCGGCTTCTGCTACTGCGACGCGGAGCCGCTTCCTCGTCCTCGTCGGCACCCTCCTCGACCTCCATTTCCGCCCCGGATCATCCTCGATCCTGTTTCCTCATCGATCCCCATCCGTCTCCCTCCTCGATGCTCTTCGACTTCGACCGACAAAAAGAAGGAGGACGCGGCCCCCCGCTACGGCTGCAGACGGAGGCCAACCTCACTGAGCCCGCAGCGTCATGGGGGACGCCTTCATCATGCAGCTCGGACAGGGTGTCGGTCGTCATGGAGGAGGTTGAGAGAATGCCGATACTTAGGCGTCGCGGCGAAGCGGAGGGGCTCGAGTCGGGCAGGATATTCTCGCCCGGCCAGTGCACGGAAAGTCACAATGCAGTGTTGGGTGCTCCTCGAGACCACCCCTGCTCATGTCGCCACTGCAACATGTTGGAAAACAGTCGGCGTCTGAATCGAAATCGGAGTCAGAGCGCGGGGTTCACCGCTCACGTCACCGCGTTTCCAGAGAGGTTGCGTCAATGTCTCTGCGCATCGTGAAGGCATGCTGCGATCCCGGCAACGCGAGTTCCCGTTCAGATGGGCCGCACGGGCAGCGTCGGACATCTGAGTGGTACGGAGGCGCAGGGGATGCATGTTGTGGGTCAGGCCGTTGGCACACCAAAGGCGTTAGTAAAGCAATGTGTGTCAAAGCTCGGTTTTGGGAACTCCCCGAGCCCCAGGCCCATCGCGCCTCAACGAATCACTGCTGGAAGAAACCCACGCTGGAGGAGACCATCACGGCAGTGACCCCAGATGGTTCTTCCAAGTTCGTCATCGGCACCGTCAATGTCAATGCGTGGCCACGAGCACAGGCCACGATGGTTTGGATCGAGAACAGGTCCGGGATGCCGCGCGCATTGTCCATCCAAGAGACCACCCGAGACACATGTGCAGAAGCAGGCGCACATCAGTGGTCCAAAACGTGTTCCGGAAAGCTGGCATAGGGAGGGAGCGGTGCGAGCGGGAAATGCGGCAAGGGTTTGTGTGGTAGGGCGGGTATTTCCGCGGCGCTCGGGTTGGGAGGCCGCCTTACTCCCACTGGCGCCCGCGAAGTCCCGGCGCGGGGGGGGGCTCGGGCTCCCCACCATCGGCCTTCAGTCGCTCCAGATTGCCGGCAGCACGCGGCCACGCGAGCACGGGAGCCGAAGGCGCCAACCCTGAGCTGATCGATGTTTAAATTGTGTTCTTGGGGGCCCAGTAGTCCTTGTTCCTGCCAGGGGTGCGATTGGCGCATGGATCCTGAGGAGGTGATGGGAACAGGATGACTCTATCTAGCACGCGCTTCGGTTCTGTTGCCTGTGCCACCAACCTGCATGGACACGGGAACGAGTACTCTAGTTGATATTTGGCCTTCGGTGCCTTTCCGATGGAGGCGAAAGCCACCGTTCAGCCCCCAATCGCCCTTCATTGTTACGTGATTTGCACAATCGATGGGGGCCCGTCTTGATCCTTTCGCGCGCGTGGAGTACACCTAGAGCGTTCCCCTTAGCGGGGCAAGCGGGCAAGTTTGAAGCGAGCGATGGGAAACGCACACATTTCGGGCAACCATTATCGCCGAGTGCATGGGCGTGCTCCATAGAGGCCTCTCGATGACATCGAGCGCGCTGCCAGACACCGACTGGTTCACCGCGGCCGAGCCATTCTTGGTGGAGCTGTTCGAAATCCCGAGTAATGATAGGAGCTTCAGCATCGGCGAAGAGCCTGATCGACTGCATTAAGGTCGCGCCGAAAACAAACAAATCACGATGGGACGGATGCTCGCATGCGGGTGTCCACGCTGCGACTGCGGGTGAAGCTCAAGTTCGCAGGGGCGGCGCCACTTGGACCCGAGGTCAGCGGCGCAGGGCGTCGCCAGCGTCTACTTCGACCCGTCGACGGCATCGGCTCGCCCACCCCAGTGACGGAATCGGAGGCCCTGCGCGGCATGCAGGTGGATATATGGGTGGGATTTGCCCTGCATGGAAGAGGTCTCGCCCGCGGGCTCCGAGTGGCTGTCCGAGGAGGTCGAGGCGAGGCGCGCGGTCGATGCCAGGGCCCGCGGCTAGGCTCGGACGGGGTTCGGGGCGTCGGCGTTGCAGGGCTCGGAAAATCTTGCCCGTGCCATCTGTCGCCCCAAACGTTTCGAAAAAGCCTTGTGCCCGCGTCGAGGGATCTGGACATAGACTGGCCGGAGCCGCGGCTTTCCCGGCGGCGTTGGAGAAGTCGGGCCCCCCGGGTCTCCCCCGAACGGGTGAAGAAAGCTCACCCCTTCAAGTGGATTAACGAGCAGGCCTTCAGGCAATCGCAGGGCCGCAGATTGTCGACGTGGCCAAGTCAGTCGTTTGGAGGTTCGACGGGGCCCGGCTGCAGAGTTCGCGATGCTGACCGGGTTCTTCAGGCTGGCCGTCGGCTTCGCGGCGCGCCCAGATCGGGGGCGGAGCCCCCCTAACCCCCCCCCCCCTCTGGAGTAGATCTTGGCCGTTTTGTTGGCGCCTGTTTCGAGCAGGCGGAGTCTCCCCCAGAGGCCGCACTCTTGCAAACAGTCGCACTGAGCAGAGGTCTGGAGCCAGACCCCATCCCTCCCCCCCTTGTCCGCCCAATGTCGAAACGCCGAATAAGAAAACGCCCACGAGGATGAAACCCCCCCAAACGTATATCCCCGAGTTGGGCCCTCCTTTCCCTCTCGCGCCGAAGGCCCCACATAAATTCTAGACGCTTCGCTTAACCCCACCTGCCCATCCAGAAACGATGCCCAGAGGAAGTGCCTCGATCAAGGAAGTGGGCAGCACACAGAGGAAGGGTCCCCCAGTGGAGGCCTCTTGGAGCGTCTTGGGAGCCTCTTGGCGGTCCCGGACGCCTCTGAGAGCGTCTTGGGCGCCTCGGAGAGCTTCTTGGGGCCTCGTTGGGGTCTCTTGGGGGCCTCGTGGAGGCCTCTGGGGCGCCTGTTGGGCGCCTCTTGGGGCCCTCTTGAAGCGCTCTTCGGAGCCTTGGGGGCGTTCTTGGAGCCCTCTTTTGAAGCTATCAGAAACGAAAAGGCGAGAAAGCCCAAAACATTGATTTCCCTGAGGTTTGGGAAAGATTTTGGCCTGTTCGGGGCCTCCTGGGGGAGCTCTTTGGCCACTTGGAGCCGTCTTGAAGCGGTCTTGGGGCCTCTTGAAGCATCGTGGGAGCCATCTTGAGGCATCTTGGGATATCTTGAGCCATCTTGGAGGTCGTCTTGGGCTCTCCCAGGCGCTCGTCGAGTCATCTGAACAGTGCCCCCCCCCCCCCCCAAGGAGGCCCAAATGTAGCCAAAACCTGAGTAAAATCAATGGCTTTGGCATTATCGCCGAGGCCTCTTGGAGCGTTGTGGGTGCCTCTGGGGGGTCTCTTGGGGCCTCGTGGAGGTCTCTTGGGAGCCTCTTGGGGGCATCCTGGGGGCATCTTGGGGGCTTCTTGGGGCCACATGGGGCCATCTCGGGGCCATCTCGGGGCCTCTTGGGGCATCCTGGGCGCCTCTTGGGGCCATCTTGGAGGAGATCGATCACAGGAGGGGGGGGCTCAATTAGCCCTCCCCCCTCAGGAGGCCAAAATGGGGCCAGGCTTCCTCGCCGAGGCCGTTTTGGACGCTCCAACGCGTCGCGGAACCCCCCGTCCAGGTCCAGGGGAGGGGGGAGGGGGGAGGGGGAGGCATCAAGACTCCCTCCCCGCCCGCAAGCCGTCTCGCTCACTCCCACCCGCCCTCCCAACACATACGTAGCACCCGAGTCTGGCCCGAGCCTCAGCATATTCAGCAGTCGTTTTTGGATGGGCAGCTATTTGGGGCCAATCCGCCGCCGCCGCCTCCGCCGCCGCCGCCGCCGCAACCGCCGCCGCCGCCTCCGCCGCCGCTGCCCGCCGCCGCCGCTTCCGCGCCGCCGCCGCCGTCGCCGTCGCCGCCGCGCCGCAACCGCTGCCGCCGCCGCCGCCGCCGCCGCAGCCGCAGCCGCCGCAGCCGCCGCCGCCGCCAAGTGTACTCTGTATTGTTTTTTGACAGGGATGGTGGGGTGAGGCCGAATCGGGTTGGCTGCGCATGCTCCGAATATGGAGGCAGAGTGTGTTTTGTAATTACTTTTTTTTAACACGGGATGGAGGGGGGGTGCCCGCATTGCCCCTGGTTGGCTCCCAGTCGCCTGGGGGAGGGGGTGTTTACTAATAGGGAAGGGGAAGAGGAAACTCCCTGAACCACCCACGCCCAGAGGGCTGGTGGGAGTCTGGGCTCAGGGTGGCCCTGCGGGCGGTGCCCGAAGCAGAGCAGGGACCGCCTGGGGCCCGGGCAAGGACCTCCGGTTGCCGGGCGGTCCCTTCCAGGTCTGGGTCGGGGGAAGGGGTCGTGGCCGAGGCCCACCGTGCCCCGGAGAGCCCCTTTTCCGCTCCTCGTCCAGCCTTCCACCTCCAGCTTCCGACCTCCACCCATCGACCTCTCGCAGCGTGCGGCCGACCCCCCGCCTGTGGCCTCGGACTCAGCAGTCGCCGCCAGCTGCCGCCATCCGGGCTTCCACCTCGAGCTTTCGACTTCCAGCCCCAAGAGCATGATCTCCAGCTTCACGTGCAACATCTGATCAGGCCTCGTTTTCGGACGTTCCGGCGCTCCGGCGCCGCACCCGCTGCACCCTAGAGGGTGTCCATGTGCGGGCGTGGTTCGTGCTTCGTGGTATTACGATGGCTGCCTCAGCCCCGCCCCGCCTCGCAGGGCCCATGTCGATCCGGGCGATCCGACTCCATGTTGGTCTCGGACGGCCCGATCCGCTCCGATCTCGGCGTTCAGACGATCGTAAGCGGCCCGATGCTTGCACGACGCTGTTGTGCAGCAGCAGCCGATCAGCTTCGATTCCGGCTCCGTGCCGATGCGGCCCGATGCGACGCACGTCTCGACCCGACCCGGCTTCCCGATTCGACGTTGGCTCTCGCAGGAGCACCGAGTCTTGTCCGTGCACGCGATCTCCAACAAGCGGGACGCGCCGGCTCGCCTCCACTCGCGCCCACCCCGGCGGTGGCAGGTGAGGGCAGGGAGCGGCTCCAGGGAGAAGGAGGCGGCGGAAGGGGGAGGAGGGCGAGGGGGAGGAGGGAGGCAGGAGGAGGAGATGGAGGGCACGGGGGGGGGGGATAGACCAGGAAGGGGAAAGGAAGGGGCGGGGAGGAAGCAGGAGGAGGAGATGGAAGAGGAGGAGGAGGAGGAGGAGGAGGAGGAGGAGGAGGAGGAGGAGGAGGTCAGGGGGATTGGGGGGGAACCAGGTTGAGGAGGAGGGCGAAGGGGGGGGGGGGAGGAGCTGGAGGAGGAGGAGAAAGTCCGTAGCCATGATGGCCTAAGAGGCCGCCCGCAGCTGGCGACACCCCATTGGCTTGAGCTGGCCTCGCGCATGGTTTTGCCGTCGGCGAGGTCTGGCTGCGCTGCTCGGGAGATGGCGCCAGTCTGTCTGTCTTGGGGTTCGCAGTGGCGTCCTTGCACGGCTTCTCGGTGTTGCTCCTGCTTAGCCAGTTGAGATCGACAACCGAGCTTAAGTCGGGCATGTCCGTCCAAAGAAAAAAGTCCAGCACTGTAAAAACATAGTTTGGTGGCGATGTCTCGATTATGGTTTGACTAGTCTTGCCATTATGCTTATACTACGCTTCACGAGTCTGATTAGTTTGGTAATCTCCTTTGTCGAGGCCACGGCCTCCACGCCATGCCCTCATGGGCACGGGCGGGCTCCCCAGAGGAGCGCGCACGACTCCGGCGTTCGCTTCGCTTATGTCACATCTCATACTTCTGCCAGAACCCGCCTGTAGGGTTAAGTCGGGCCTGTCCTTTTACAGGGGGGATATTCAAAAATTGTCAAACAAGAGTCGGGGGATTCTTTGTTTAGTATGTTTGACAAGTTTGGAGTCTTTGGGGGGTATCTCTTACTGTTCGTCGAAGATCCCCCTGTAGAGGGGACACGCCCCACTTAACTGTAGGAGCACATGCCCGACCGAAAACCCGGCCCGGAGGCACGTGGCCTCCACGCAGAGGGCCACGGGGGCCCGTGCCGCCGTGCCGCCTCGGCCTCCGAGCCGCCACGGGGGGGCTCCGCACGCCGGAGGGTGCCCGCAGCTCCCGCCCGCTGCGGGTGTCTGGGCCTAGATGGGGTCGGAGTAGATGGGGTCGGAGGATCGCGCCGCATCGTCGATGCATCGGGGATACGGCTCGATGTGTCGCCCGATTTTCTCCACGCTGGCGTCGCCGATGCATCACGATGAATCGCCGATGCATCGGCGATGTATCGCGGATATATCGGCGATGCGGCGCGATCCTCCGACCCCATCTACTCGGACCCCATCTAGGAGGCCTCTAGTGTGGGGGGGGGCGCGGCCTGCGCACCCGCCGTGCACGGCGCGCCCTTCTCGAGGCGCCGACCTTCGAGTTCGTCGAGGGCGAATGCGCCTAAGTCGGGTTCGTCCTCTCTGCAGGAGGAGGGTTCGAACATAGTCCAGACGCAGTCTGGGGACGATTTTTTTGGAATGTTTGAATCGTTGCTGAATGTGCTTGGCTATTGTTTCATTTCTCGTCGAAGATTCCCTGTAGGAGGACATGCCCGACCTAAGTCTACCCAAGAAGGAGGGGCAGGCGTTCGTTCGGTCTCCCACCGCGGAGTCCCGCTCTCCCCCACGGTGCACGGCCCTGCAAGCGAGGCCGACCTCACAGAGCAGGCCGACGCCGCGAGGGCCGTGCAGCGAGGCGCCGTCCGCAGGTCAGGTTCACGTGAGGCTCCTCCTCCTCCTCCTCCTCTTCCTCCTCCTCCTCCTCCTCCTCCTCCTCCTCCTCCCCCTCCTCCCTCCTCCTCCTCCCCATCCCCCTCCTCCCCCTCCTCACCACCGCGAGGCTCGCGATCGCTGTCCGCTGGAAGTGCGCCCTGAGAGCGCGACCGAACGCGACGGGGTGGCGGACCATGGTTTTTCGGACTCGATGCCAGCGCTGCGGACCTGGCCAGTTTCATGGACGAGGAGCGCGGCTCGGATACGGAGGGCCGCGTTGTTCTCGACCGCCTCGGGTGGCCGCTCAGCTGAGATGCCGCCTGGGAGGAAAGCCTCGGCAGGCAATCAAGCAACTCAAGAACGGCAAGTACAAAGACACCACGGGGATCACAGCAGAATTGCTCAAAGTTTGGGGCGCTACCATACAATACCACCTGTTCCAACTCTAATCAGACCCCACCAGGCCAATGGAAGAGCACCACTATCACTATCACCGTGCTTTACAAATCAGGAGACCCACAACTCCCAGGCAGTTACAGACCCGTTACCATTATCCCGTTGTTATACAAGTTGGTGGCTCGCCTCCTTTGCAACCGGCTGAACCCTCTGTTCGCCTCGGATCAGTGCCTTGATCAAGGAGGTTTCCGGAAGGACTTATTGCACGGAAGACCATGTGTTCATCATTGCGATGCTACATGAGGTTTCCTACGAGTGGCAGCGACCGCTATGGGCAGCAGCAATCGACTATAGAAGGCGTTCGTCTGTGTTGACCACGACCAATTCGGGAAAACTTTTACGACGGCAACACATAGATCGGCAGCGCTCGCGGCCAGCGAACGCAGCGGTTGCGCACGGCGCGCCTCCCGCCGGATGTGCTTGGCATCGCTCGGACATGTGCTCTTGTTCTCGGCGACGGTCGACACCATGAGGCAAGATGAGATGTGGTGAGGCGCGCTGGTGGACGAGGTAACTGTCGAAACGGCCCTGGGCGTTTACTACACAGCCCGGCCCTGTTCGATTCCTTCCATGGGCTCGCTCACTTGCGGCTTCGCTTGTCGAGGGGATCCTTCTTGGGGGCGGATGTCCTCCCCGCTGACTTGGCTGCGCTGCACATGCTGCCTGCCGGAGGTCGGCCACCAGGGTGCAGTCGGCGCGCTGGCGGCGCGCACATGGAGGAGGAGGAGGAGAAGGAGGAGGAGGAGGAGGAGGAGGAGGAGGAGGAGGAGGGAGGAGGAGGAGGAGAGAGAGGAGGAGGAGGAGGAGGAGGAGGAGGAGGAGGAGGAGGAGGAGGAGGAGGAGGAGGAGGAGGAGGAGGAGGGAGGAGGAGGAGGGAGGGAGGAGGAGGAGAAGGAGGAGGAGGTGGAGGAGGAGGCGAGCAAGGCGTTCTCGTGGCGTGGGTCTTCACTGCAGGGGGAGGGGTGAGAGCTCTTCTCCGCAGCAGGCTGCTTCTCGGGAGGGCGGCCAGCGAGCGCAGTGGCCGCGCACGGCGCGCCCCCCGCCGGGCTGGGCGGGGCGCGCCCCTCGCCGCCCTGCCGGCGGGCGGAGGCGGCAGGCCCCCCCTCCAGGGCGGTGCGGGGTGGGAGGTGGCGCCGAGCACCCAATCAGAGCCCCGAGTCGTTCGGGGGTGGACAGAACCCCCAACAGTGACACGTCGATCAGTGAATTGTCCGTCTTCGGTTCTCGAGAGGGCGCCGTGGCCGTTGTTTTCCAGGCCTGCGCCCGCCAGGTTTGGGCCTCAGGTCGTTTTCACTAAACCACGTTTTACTAAAGGGAGGTCTGTCCAACCCCGAATCGTCAGGGGTGACTCGGCGGGTCAGGGCTCACTCGGGTTCGCTTGTCGGGAATCCGAGCCCGAGTTCCTCCGGGCCCGAGTTGCCCCGGATAACTCGGGCGTCCAGAGCCCCGAATCGTCAGGGGTGGGTGACTTGGGTCAGGGCTAACTCGGGTTTGTTTTTCGGGAATCCAAACCCGCGTTACCCCAGACCCGAGTTACCCCGGATAACTCGGGCGCCCAAACCCAAGCCACGAACTCGGCAGCGCACGCCGATGTGCTCGGCATCGCTCGGGCTCCAGGACGCCTCCAAGAAGTTTCCAGGAAGCCCCCAGAAGACCCCAAGAGGGCACCAGGACTGGCCTAAGAGGGCCCCGAGATGGTTGGATACGCCCCAGGACCCGAAGACTGCCCAACCTCAGTGGGCCCCGGAAACGGCAGGGCCGTTTTTTCACCGTTTCCGAAGAAGTCTCCTTTGAGAATGGAAACGGCAAAAAAACGGCGACCGGAAACGTCAACAAAAACGGCTCCAGGATTGGAACCGGAGCCAGAACTGGTCAAACAACGGCGACGGATCCGGTAAGTAAAACGGCGTCGGAACCGGCAAAAAAACGGCAAAACGGAACCGGTGAAAAAACAGCCCGTCGTTTCCAGGGCCCACTGGGTGCCCAACACGGCTCCAAGATGGTAGTACCGCATCAAACGGACAGCACGGGAACCAGCATAATGCGCTTGAATGCGGCAGGTACAGCGTCAAACGGACAACGCGGGAATCAGCATGATGCGCCCTATAGGCATGATTTTCGTTGTTTCTCCCTTCCTCGCAAGTCACGCCCACTTGTCCTCCAAGGTCGGGGTTCGTGGCTACATCAGGTTTCTCGGCGAGGACCATCGAGATCATGTGGGGCGCTGCAGAAGCGGCCTTGCCTTCGAGGATCGCGGGAGTTGCCGTGTCGTCCGCCGCGGAAGGCGGCGGAAGGTCGGCGGCAGCAAGACGAGGCCGCTTCCGCCGGCGGAAGGGCGGCGGAAGGTGGCGGAAGTAAGACAACGTGTTTGGGTTCAGGATTTCGGAGTCCGCCAGTTCGTAGCACTATATATATGTATATATTGATATAGAATTGAAAATATCAGTCTTAATTTTAGTTTTTATTTACTTATATATACACATATATACATGAAAGCACACGGAATGGACGCCCGAGCGAGGGCGAGACGTGCCAGCCTCGTGCTGCGCACCCGCGAGGAAGGCGTGCTCTAGGGCCCTGCTGGCCCGCGCGTCCGCCGGCAGGGCGCCCGATCGACCCGGGCGGGGCGCCAGGCAAAGGAGCGCCTCCCGAGAGGGCCCTGGCCTCGAGTCGGGCGCGTCCCTCCACAAGAGGGGTATATCCAAAGATAGTCAAAACATAGCCTGGGGACGATGTGTGATGATCCGTTGACCCTTCTGGGGTATTGAGTTCTGTGTTCAATTTGTCGCCCAGAATCCGCCTGTGGGAGGACCTGCCCGACCCACCCTTTGGCCCGGCGCCTCCGGGCGGCGGGGGGCCGGAGCGCTGGCCGCTTGGCCCGCGCCGGCCGGGGCGCGAAGCGGCGGTGAGGGGTTCGCTCGGCGCCGGCGGCGCCCTCTGCCTCCCCCTCCGCGCCCGCTTCCCCCTCCCCTTCCCCGCCCTCCTCCTCCTCTCCCTCCTCTCCCTCTCCCCTCCTGGCCTCCTCCCCCTCCTCCACTCCCTCCTCCATCCCGCTCCTCTCCCCCCTCCCCCCGCCTCCCCCTCCTCTCCCTCTCCCTCTTCCACCCCCCCCCTCCTCTCCCTCTTCCCATTCCCCTAACCCACCTCCCTGGGCCATGTACGATCGGCGAAGGAAAAAGCAACAGCACCACCCGCCCGAGCACCGTTGGCGCATCCCGGGGTTACTTTGGTCCTCTTTTTCTCCTGCCCAGCCGCCAGCGGGGGGGTGTTCCCTTATCGCTTTTTCGCTTCCCCACAAGACGGGTTCCGCAGAGATCTTTGCCAGTTCTGGCGCGAGTGGGGCAACTCATCTGATTTCCCCGCGCGCTGTTCATTGTTCATCGCTCCTACCCAGCCCACTCGTTCGCGTCATCGTGTTCCATCTCGTTGCTTGCTTGCTCTCTCTCTCTCTCGCTCTCTCTCCTCTATCTCTCCTCTCTCTCTCTCTCTCTTTCTCTTTCTTTTTTTTTTTCTCTCTCTCTCTCTCTCTCTCTCTCTCTCTGTCGACTCCGATGAGACAGATCGCGGGCCGTGGTTCGAGTGCCGATTGAAGTTTGGCCTCGACTTTAGGGCCAACCCATGCCATCCCATATCGTCTCTCTTGTTATCTCTCTCTTTCGCTCGTTCTCTCTCTCTCTCTCTACTTCTCTCTCTCTCTCTCTCTCTCTCCTCCTTTATATTTATATGTATGTATGTGTTTTTATGTGTATCTCTCTCTCTCTTCTCTCTCTCTCTCTCTCTATATATATCACTCTCTCTCTCTCTCTCTTTCTCTCCCCCACCGCGGCGCGCGCCACAATCTGCCCTGAACCGACCCCAGGAGGACGCCTTCTTGCAGTTCGACTGCCCTTCGGAGCTGAGCAGACGCACCACGGACAAGATCAAGAAGACGGCCCGCGCCGCTCCTCCCCTTCGGGGGGAGGGGGGAACAGAGGAGGAGGGGAACAAACAGGAGCAGGAGGAGGAAGATAGGGGAGGACGCGGGTGAGGACGACAAAGAGGAGGGGGAGAAGGAGAGGAAAAGGAGGGACCCGCCACACACATATCCGTAAGAGCTTCGCCCCCTGCCGCCGGCCCCCTCGCTATCATAATGGGATATGTATGAGTCGCGTCGGTGCGTCTCGGCGCTGCCTTTGCGCATCTGGGAACATCATGTGGGGGTGGATGGGAGCCGTCAGCGCATACTGAGACGTTGGCGTTATCCTAGTGGCTTTCGCCCATCCCGCCACCGTGCCCGGGTTGTGGGTCTGAGGCCTCTTGTTTCTGTATTGGGGTGTCGTGGGGACCTCTCGGAGGCTTTTTGGAGGCGGTTTGGGCGCCTCTTGGGGGCCTCGTGGGGTATATGTTGTGCCTCGTGGAGGCCTCTTGGGCGCGTCTTGGGTGCATCTTGGGGCCTCTTGGGGCCTCCTGGGGGCTTCTCGGAGCGCTTCTTGGGCCATCTTGGAGCCCTCTTGGGCCGTCTTGGGGCCCTCTTGGAGGGGTTTTGGGCTGTCTTGGGGAGGTCTTGGGAGCTGTTTGAGCCGTCTTGGAGCGTCGGAAAGCCGAACATGTGAGAAGGCCAACATACTGCAACAACCTCAGTAACATCGACGATGTTGGACTCTTGGGCTTCTCTCGGGAGGCCTCTTGGAGTGCTCTTGGGGCCTCTTGGGACCCTTTTGGGCTGTCTTGGAACCATCTTCGGGCGCCTTGGAGCACTCTTGGCCTTGGCAATGCGAATGTGGTGTAATTTGCGAGGGTCCATGCCTTCGGGGACGCGAATCTTGCGTAAGTTACGAGGGACTGCTTCGGGGACGCACGAACTTGTGTAACTTTCTAGGGTTTACGGCCTCTGGGATGCGAAGATTGTGCAATTTGTTAGGGGTTCTGGCTTCGGGCACGCGAATGTCACGTAACGCGTACGTTCCCACGCCCCCCCCGGGAGTTCCGAGCACGCGATCCGAGGGTGGCAGTTTGCTGGTTTGGGGCTCCCCCCCTCGCGCGGACTGTAGGAAGCAGGAAGCAGGAAGTAGGATTGTAACATTGGAGACTTGAAACTGCAACTTGCGCAGGGAGCAGCAACCTGGTCCTACAGCCTGGTGAGGGAGGAGGAAGAGGGAGGAGGAGGAGGAGGAGGAGGAGGAGGAGGAGGAGGCGGAGGAGGGGGACGAGGAAGAGGAGGAGGAGGAGGAGGAGAGGAGGAGGACGAGGAGGACGAGGAGGGGGAGGAGGAGGAGGAGGGAAGAGGAGGATGAGGAGGAACGAGGAGGGGAGGGGGCCCAGACGGTGCGGTGACCGCGCCGTGCTGGGAGGCACTGGGGATTTGGCGTGACCGCACGGTCATTCGGGTTGCTCTCCGAGGATGTCTCTGCCGACTGGGGCCTCGAGGGTCCCGAGACCGGTCGGTGACTGACCGCGCGGCGAGGTCTCTTGGGATTTCGAGGTCACCGCGCGGTCTGTCACCACACGGTTTTGGGACATCGAGAGGAGGGAGGAGGAGGATATCGAAAATAAGGGAGGAGGAACAGAGGGAAGAGGGTCAGAAGGAAGTGCTAGAAGTAAGCGAGCCAGGGGGTTGCGAAAAGTTCCGTTTTATGCCGGCGCTTGGTCCAATTGAAAAAGCTCGTCATTTATGTGGCGTCTGTTTGCGGCCGTTACCTTAATACATCGTGTCTTGGAACATTATCATGGTAGCGGAACGTAGTACATAGTAGTACATATGCCCACCGGGACAAGCAGCGGCCACATGAGCAAACGATCCTTTATTTCAGTTTGACGGGTCATCACACCGTGCTGCATCGTTCGGACTCAAAGCGGACATGTTCCGCGAGCTATGGCTAGCTGCGTACACCAAAGGAGATTACAAGTATGAAGGCACGAACGGGTGGAAGCTGGGGTCCTCAGGAGGAGCACGAGAGCATGTGCCGAAACCAGTTCACGAGCGAATGGAACGAGAATGTGCCCAACGCGTTAGTGCGTGCCAACTTGCTCATCGCGAACTCCATGTGAAAACATCGATACCGAGTCAGAGACGCTGGACGGCGCCTGACCATGGTTCGATCGGGACATGGCAGACTGGTGCAAGCCGAGAGCGGCACGGCACGCGAGTTCACGCCCAGGTTGTGGCACCGGCTAGTTGAGGACACGTGTTGCACCTCAATGGGAAGCAGGAAGACGTAGACCGAGGAGGCAGACCGACAGGGTTGCGCGAAGGTGCATGGTTGGCGGCGTACCAGAGGATATGCCAGTGGCATTATACTGTCACCAGAGTTCCACTGTCTTCAGGAGAGGAGAAAAAAAACACACAGACACAATTAATCCTCGATTCCCCAGAAAATATGGGACAACATTGGAAGTGGGGGGGAAGACAGAAACCCAGGAAATATGGCAAAACATAGGGAATCGTTTTATTTGTGTGTATTTATTTGTGTGTCCTGGGGCCCCTTCATGTCTTGCAGGATGAAGATGTGTTCCTAAAGAAAGCCCCGAGGTCCAGGACCCGCTTCCCTCGGGACCCTTTTATCTCACGCCAGTGCTCTTCAGTCGTTGTGGTATGTCCCTCCCCCCAGACCTCCCACGGCCCGATGTTTTCGAATCGTTGGTGCTTGGACGTCTCGACCCCGATTCCCGGCGACGGGCTTTTTATCCTGAGTCGTCGTTTACGCTTCCCACGCACTCACACGCCTTGCCAAGAGGAGGCCTGATGAGCCCCCTTCCTCCAGAGTTGTCGGGAGGCCCCACAACACCAAACAATTGAATGACGTCCTCCCCCTCCTCGTCTCATCGATCTCGATGTTGCAAACTTGCACGTGGTTCCTGACCCCACGGCGGTATGCCACCTCAGACGAAGAGGCTTCAATAGATTCCACCCGTTTCGAGCTTCGTCAGAACGATGATCAGTGCTGTGTGCCCCCGTTGTGGCGAGCGGGCGACCCTTTGACGCAGTCTTGAAGCCTCTCCCTCATCATTGTCTTACTGCGGCGCGGACGAACGAGAGGGGGGTTGGGCAGGGGTGGGGCAGTGCCAAATCTGCCGCACGCAGCCCGCTTGCGGCCCCGCCGCTGTGCGCCTTCCTCGAGACACGGGCGTTGGGTGGCGCCGGGAATACCAGATGCATGCAGTGTTGGCTCGTTCCAGTTGGCGAGAGGAGTCAAAGCATTCGTAGCTTCGGAGTGGTACCCCTTGTGCTCTTCGCATGTGTGATCTCCACCGTGGAGGGCTCGTCGTTTGGGGCGTCTCCCCGGGGCCTCGAGCACCGTGCGAAGGAGCTCGTGCTCTCGACCTGCGCTTTTGAGGCCACGTTTTGGCGGTAGCCCCCTTTCCTGTGCGCTCCCCCCCTCCTCCGCCCCGAGCCTCGTCTCCCTCGTCATGGCAGCCCCCGCGTTTCCTGGGCCCCGGAGGAGCAGTTTCAGGCTCCACCCCGACCCGATCCGATGTCGAGCTCAGCCGACCCCTTGGCATCGCTCGGACGTGTGCATGTTTCCTCCGGCGAGGACCATCGAGGAGCATCCTTGATCATTTGGCGAAAAAAAAAAACACGCACGAAACCGAACAAAGCACAGGGAATGGACGTCCGAGCGATGGCGAGACCCGATCTGATTCGATTCCGCTACGCCAGCGATCCGATGCGGCCCGATATGTGGCGCTGTTGTGCATGCTGGCGCGGCTGATTCGATCCCGCGGGCCATCTGCAGTGGTGCTTCGGGGTTGCAATCACGCGTTGGTCACCTTGCCGAAGTGTTGCCCGCCATGCTCAGGGTGATTTCGACCGTTCCACGAGCCGGCGAGCAGGTGTCGAACAGAATGCGAAGATGCTTTGAGCGCGTCTGCTTCCCCTGTGCGTTGTTCGGTAGGCGGTCGGAGAGATTCCGGCCAGCTGCACCGGACCCCCCCCCCCAGAGGAACGCAAAGTATTGCAATCGAAAAAGTACCACGCCGAAGCACGAGAACGAGAAATATGCCGTGCAGAAGTATGAAGTACAGAATTTCAAAAATCCTAAGCGTGAGGAAAGTGTGAGAGATATGTTTGACATATGTGTTTCACACTTCGTACTTGCTTCAAACGTGTTCCATACTTGCTTCATGATTTGTTTGTACGTTGTTGGATGTGCGTTCGTACTGTTGGATGTGTGTTCGTGCTTGTTTCGTACCTATTTCCGCGTTGCACATATGTCATACTCGCGTTTCGCGGACCTCGCTTGGTTCGTTATTTTGATACAGACTTACTTTGCACTCGCGCTATCGTATCAAACGCGTACTTGCACTTTTTCCTTCCCCTGCCAAGATCGGGGACCTCCGTCCTAGCCGGCTTCGGATCTCAGAAGGCCATGTTTCGACATAACGGCAGTGTTGCAAGATTGCGCCGCAAGTGTGTCTCTGACTCGACCTTCCTTCGGCTACACGCAAAGGTGACCCTTCCGGGGCTCGTTTCGATTCCTCCGATTCGATTCGATTCGATTCGATTCGATTTCGATAGTTTCCGATTCCGGCTCGATTAAATGTCTGATTCCGATTTGTGTTCCGACTTCTCGATGGAGGCCTATTAGCTTGCCGGCTTCTGCCGATTCGATTGCTCCCGACTTGGCTGCCGATGTCCGCCAATCCGATCGGTGTCTGAACTTCATAAATTGGTTTGTGAATTCAAATAGTACCAGTGGTTGAATTCAGAAAACAGTTTTGTTAAATTCAAGAATCCGTTTTTGAGTTCAAAACACGTTTCTTCGGATGCAACTCCTGGGAGGTCAAATTCTGCTTTTGACCTGGCCCGACATCCGGGCTAATCCCGCTTGATCCGGCTTCATCCCGCTCCATCCCGCTCAATCCCGGCTTAATCCGAGGCCCACTCTGGCGCAACGGCCCCACAGTGGGGCTCAATCCTCTTTGTTGCTTCCGACGAAGACCTCCCAGCTGTCGCTACCTTTAACGCTTCCATTGCCGATCCGACGCGTCGCTTCGATCCTGTCGCAGGCCTAGAGGTTAACACCAACACCACGATCGGCGGCGTGCTTCCACCGAGGGAAGGAGATCCCGATCTCGGTGATGGTGGTCATATTCTGGCTTCCAAGGTGACCGAAATATTGCCACCAACACCGAAATCTAGGATCACCTCCCCCCTGCCCATGTCCAGGCCTCCCAGACGAAGACCTCCCAGCTGTCGCTCCCTAAACGCTTCGATCGCCGATCCGACGCGTCGCTTCGCGATCCGGGGCTCGCCCGCCTCTCGCCCGAGCGGCCCCTGCTCGGTGCGCGGCGCGCTCGGGGAGGCACGGCCGGGGGCGGGCGGTCTGCCGGGCCCCCGAGCACGCGGGTCGCTGCTGCCGCCTCGCGGCACCCGTCGCTCGCGGAGGGCACGCGGGTGTTCGAGGTTCGTTTTGGGGGCCTTCCTGGGGCACACCTAATTGATCTGTTCGACTCAGGTTCGCCTCAAGTTCGACTCAGGTTCGCCTCAAGTTCGACTCAGGTTCGACTCAGAATCGACGCAGGTTCGACGCACGAGTTGAGCGAGTGGCTCCAGGAAGGTCCCCAGAATGAGCATCTAATTGGTGCTGTTGGATCCCCCAGTCCCAGTCTGCAGTGCAGGGCGCGTTTCGGTTCCTCCGATCCGATTCGATGCGACTTCGACGGATTCCGAGTCCGATCCGATTCGATTCCGGAGTCCGATGTGGGCTCCGATTTCTTATCGGACGCATGCTAGCCTTCCGATTTCCGCCGATTCGATTGTGCCCGATTCGGCTGCCGATTTCCGCCGATCCGACTTATTTCGATCGCCGATTCGACTTATCGATTCGATTCTGGGCTTTCCTGACAGTGGGGGCGCGCATCAAGAAACCATGTGTTTTCGTCAGGGTACCCCGGGTTTCTTCGCTCCGCGTTCTGCGCGGTGACTTCCCGCGGCCGTCAAAGAAGCTGATTCGTTCAGGATGCTCGGGTTTTTCCCTCAGGTGCACCTCGCGCGCGGGTTTCCAGGGTTGGATTTCTTGCGAGGGTATCTTGCGGCCGCGCGCGCACTGTACTCCAAGCGCCCCCCTAGACAGAGGAGGAAAAGGTACCCATACTGCTACCCTTCGCCCGTTGTCCCCTTTTTGGGCCTCCTGGGAGGCCCTCGTCGCCACCGCTGGATTCGCCTCGAGATTCTAGGCAGAACGCACCCCAGGCGAGGTCTGGGGGGTAGCGGTATCGGTACATTTTGGCCTCCCCACCTGCGTCAAGCATCGATGTGATCTTGCTGTGACCCGTCCTTCCCTGGGAGGGCCTTGGCCCAGTCTGCTCTTCCTGCTCCATGCCCTTACCTGCTGCTGCCGACCGGCGTGTACCGATCGGCACGCCTCGCTAGGGGGCCAGATGCGAACCCTACCCCTACCCCCCACGATTTCTGCGGGGGAGGGTGGGGTTCACTTCGCTCGAGAGCTCCCGAACGAAGTGAACCCCACCCTCCCCCTCAGAACTCGTGGGGGATAGGGGTAGGGGTAGGGTTCGCATCTGGCCCCCTACTCGCACCACGCATCACCCCTGCCGGAGGCCACTCCTCGCGGGCATCCCCCGGATCTCGTCGGCTCCCCGGCGCTCTGCCCGTGCATATGCCCAGCCAGCCACCTCCATGCGCGCTTGTGCCTGCGGCTCCGCGGGGGCATCCGTCCACCTGTTGCGGTCGCGCGCGTGCCGCCCAGGGGCGATTTCACCCCGTCATGTCGCCCTACCTCAAAGAACGCGGGGCGACGAAGTTCACCGCGACAACACCGGAGCCTCAATCGGTTGGCACGCCGCGGAGGTCAGCGCTAACAGGGGTCAGCCAATTTAGATGCTCGTTCGGGGGACCTTCTTGGGGCCCCCCTAACGGATTTGCTCGACTCTATTTCGACCCTTTTCTTTTCAAGTTCGATTCAGATTCGATTCAGGTTCGATTCAAGGTCGATTTCAATCGACGGACGTTCGACGCAGCTTCTACGCACGAGTGGAGCGAGTGTCTCCAGGAATGTCCCCAGAATGAGCATCCAAGCAAATCTTCTCTAGTCCCCATCGGGCGGGCTGACCCGAGTTTGGAAGCCACGGCGCAGAGCTGGGTCTGAGGGCTGCTTCGTGACAGGCCTGGGTTCGGGACTTGGCCTTGGCAGGGCCCAGGTCAGCGCTGACCCCGGTCAGCGCGTCCCCGACGGGTTGGGGGATGCGACGGAGAAGGGTTGGGTTCGGTAGCAAATCATGGGAGCCTGGTATGCCCTCTGAATTCCATCTCGAACGTCGATTAGCGTGTGGGAGTCCGTGAGATAGCGCCGATTTAGCGTCGGTTAGCGTTGAGTTAGCGTCGATGAGCGTCGATGTAGCGTCGGTTCGCAAGAGCGGACAGGATGGTATGGGAGGCTCTCATGATTTGCCACCGACGTTGGGAAAGGTGCAGTCGAAGCCGATAGTAAGGATAGGTAACCTCATCAAGGGTATCCTGGCATGTGTGCCTCCTTGGTCCATCCTTGACTACGTTCGGTGGCCTGCCGCGCTCGAAAGAGCTTCAAAGCGGGCGTCCAAGGGACTTGCATCCTTCTTGCGCATTGTTACTATCAGTTTTGATTTCAGGGGAACGCGTGTGTTGTACGGCCAGGAGGAAAGAGGAAGAGGAGGACGAGAGGCAGGCTCGATGGAGCGGGGCCCGGTGAGGCAGAGGCGTACGGGGTAGAAGGAGACAGGTGCGGGATTAGGATTTCGGATTTAAGTTCGCTCCTCGTAACAAGCGAGTCCAACTGCCTTCTATGCCAATGTGTACGTAACCCCGATGTGGCGGGAGGGAGCGAGTCGGAGGATGGCAGAGTCATGTTCGTGGGGTGGGCGCAGGAGATACGGAGCAGAACGGGAGGCGGAGCGGAATCGGAGGGAGGCAGACAGGAGAGGTGGCAGGATGAGAAGCAGGCTGCAGCGGGAGGGGTGCAGAGCCTTGACGGGGAGGGCGAGGAGGGATGCAGTCAAGTAGTTGTGGGATAAGGCCCACCTTGGTTTTTGTTGATGTCACAACGCTGCCATCCGCCTTCGCTATACTTCCCGCTTTAACGTATCGTTCAAGTTCTTAAGTATGCTCCCAGCGTTTCTCGCGCGTCTGGGTGTCATTGATGCCCACAAGAGGTGTCGGTCCTCATCGGAGGTCCGTCGTGGCGGCAAAAAGCTTGACGCTTCGCATATCCGTACAACCCAATCCACAAACACAACGCCCAGGCGAGTTGCATTGATCAGGGAAGTGTGTCAGCATACTGTGGAACAAAGAAGAGGTTCAGCCGTCGAATCGAAGAACAGGGTCTGCCTGAGAAGGCCCAGTAGTCACCGGAAGGGAAAAGGTGAGAATGCAAACATGGTTCGCGTTCGGTTGCTGTTGAAAGGGTGTTGGGCTCTTGGGGGCGTCTTTGGGAGGTTCCGTGGCCACTTGAAGCTGCATTGGGGCATCTCGGAGGCATGTTGGGAGGTATGTTGAACCATTTTGAGTTGTTGTGAGCGATTTGGGAGACCAGCTTGGGCTATCGTGGCTCAACTTGGGGCCACCTTGGCACACACATGATCCTCCGACACCTCGCGGCGCCCCACCCCTAGGACCCAGGGGCAAAGGGAGGGGTGAACCCTTCCCCGAAAGGCAACAAGGGGATCGAAACAACTAACTCACGGAATCATCGTCGCCCGAAGATCTGGTGGGATTACACCCCTGACGGCAGAAGACCCTAAGCAGCTCTTCCAGAGTATCTACTGGTTTTCGGCACATCCCACCATTGTGCTTGGGTTGTCGGTCAGGGGCCCTTTAGGATGCAGATGAGGATGTAGTGGGTGACCTCCCGGGAGCCTCTTGGAAGCGGTTGCAAGGGTGTTTGGGGGCGTCTCGGGAGCCTCTTGGGGGCCTTGGGGTCGGATTTGGGCCTCTCGGTGCCTTTTTGCGTTTTGGGGACACATCGGGGGCCTGTGGGGGGGGGGATCTTGTGGGCATCTTGGGCCTGGGGGTTCAAGATGTCAATTCGTGCTCCCCCTCTTGGGGCTCGGGGGCCTCTTCGGCCCCTCGTGGGGGCTCTTGGGCGCCCGCTTGGCCGCCTTGGACGCCCTGAAGACCAAGAGGCGGCGACGCCGACACCGTCCAAAAAGTAATGAGAAGCTCATGACTGGGGCTTCTCGGGCCACCTTGCAGGGCCTTCTAGACGGCCCATGAGGCCCTCAAAATAGTTCCAGGACGAACCTCGGAGCCATTCTTGGCCATATTGAACAGGCATGTTGAGGACAACGCGCTGATATGTAAACACAAAAAACAAAACATGTTAGCCAGCGTGGACTCCAAACAGTAGTTTATTGCAGCCTATGCGGTGCAATCTACGTGGTCCAATGTATGCGATGCAACCTATGTAGCGCCATCTATGCGGTGCAACCGATGTGGTGCCATCTGCGCAGTGCAACCGATGTATTGCAATCTGTGCAGTGCAATCGTCAACAAGCTGTGTAATGCAAGTTACGCGGTGCAACGTATGTGGTGCAATTGACCACGGTGCCCCGCGCGCGACCATTCTGCACGCTCGCGCAAACACCCCCCACTTCCACCCGCATCTCGGCCGGCAGAATTCATACGTTCGCGACAACGCGAATTTCATCGAGTTCACTGGCAAGTGGACCCTTGCAGCGCGGGCAAACTCCATCTTGCGGAAGACACTGCGGACGACAGCGTCGACAAACGACGATGAGGTTGTTGGCACGACCCAGAAGGTCGCGAGTACAGTTACAGCGTGGAGCTCCCCCGGTACATGCATCGTGTCCATTGGCTCGCGGACGCCCGCCGCGCGGGCAAAGTCCATCTTGCGGGAGACAGCGCTGACGGCGAAGTCGACAAACGACGATGATGATGATCACGACGCTTCCGACGGAAATGATGACGATGACGGCGCCCCGCATTGTATTATTTGACGGAGTATGCCTTTTGGCAAGCGCGCGACGGCATTGAGATAAGTTCGGCATGCGCGCGCGAAGGCTCCCTTGGACGGGGAATTGGAAAGAACAACAAAAAACCGGTGTCCCAGGAATCTGCAAGAGCGCCCGAGATGGAATGGTGAAATTTTGTTGTTGGGGAACCATTGGGTTCTTGATGTTCTTATGTTGAAATCGCAACGGAAACAACGGTGTTGGAAGGATGTTGTCTTGCGCGCGAGTGTGGCCCGCGTGGTATTAGATCACCAGGGTTCGTGCATTCAGCTCAGGTTAGACAACGCACACGCAACGCATGGTATGTTTGACAGGTTTGAGAAGGATGCGGGGGGGACCCGGCACAGGGATTAGGTGGAATGGTATGGGCGCATATGTAAAATTGTCAAGGCAACATAATCATATGTAAAATGCAGTACCCTTGGGGGGTGGTAATCATGGGGGTGTGGCGAGGGTACATTCCAATTTCATTTGAAATCGCAGCGAAAACAACGGTGTTAACATGGATTTCGTTTCGCGCGTGCATGTGGCCCGCGTGGTATGATTCCATTACGACTCGTGGATTCAGCACATATACGGCCAACGCACGTGAACCGCATGGAATTATTTGACAGGGATGACGGAGAGACCCGATACTGGGATTAGGGGACAAAACCATATGTACATTGGAGTACCCCAAGGGGGGTGGGGTGATCCCGGCGGGGTGGTGCGGGTACAATTCAATTACTTTTTAAGAGAGGAGGGTATACGTGGGGCAATTTATCCGACGGCAACGGCGGCGACGGCGACACCGCCCGAACAAGGCGACGGGCGGCACTGCCCTCAAAAGTTGCCACTCAGCCCGAGACGGTTAAGCCAAACAGTGCATGGATAATGATAATACGAATTTGAAAACAAACATAAAATTTGTATAATTAATAACAAAATCAAGGAATCAATGTATAGAACAATAATCAAGGTAGGTCAGATCATAAAGTAGTACAACATTGTGCAGTTGCGCAAGAAATAGTGGAACTAGCGGAGTGGCCAAGTAAGGTAAAAAGAAAAGAAGTGTGGTACGTATCAAGTACGTACGATCATACTATAGCATGGTAAGGTAAAGCATTGTGAGGTACGGTAAGGTAACGTCAACTAACAGCAGAAGTAACGTGAAGGAAGTTATTGTAACGTCAACGGTGTAAGGTCATGTAAGATGCGGTGGGGCAACAACAACCGAACGCAGGGTAAAGGAAAATGAAGTGAACCAGCGCAAGCAACGCAAAATAATGTAAAGTATGAAAAGCCAGAGACATGCAAACACCTCAATATAGAACAGGAAGGCAAGGCCAGGTAAGGTTAAGCAATGCAAAAGGAAGGTACACGAACGTAAATCAAAGCACGCGGAAGTAAAACATGGTAAAGCTATATTAAATAAAGTAAAGTAGCGTAAAGTGAAACAATACAAAGCAAAGTAAAGCAAAGCAAAGTAAAGCAAAGCAAAGCAAAGCAATGCGGCGACTGACGGTGACTGGTGGCGACGGGCGGCACGGCGACGAAAAGCCGGCTCTGCTCCCCGGAGCGTTAAGACAAGTAAGAACCTTTGCAGTGCAAATGTTGCTTAGGGAATTTGCATTGCAAAATACACAGGACTCAAAGGTACTGAGCACACCCCACTTCGTGCCTCGAGGCGCCGTGGCGGATTAGAGAGAGAGACGACAAGGAAGAACATGAGGGCGATCAGGCAGAATATCACGGAGGCCATAGGAATACCGTGCGGGAGACCAGACGGGAAGCCAGGGAGGCCATGCGGACGACCACGCGAGAGACGGCGAGGGAGACCACACGGAAGACGATACAGGCGCAACCATGAGTGAGATTGGCAGGGACCGAGGCTGGTCTGCGTGGGGGGAGCGCGCGCGCGCGCTGGCACCGTTTTCTGATTTCTTCTGCGCATTGCCGTGGCGCAAAAAAAAAAAAAAAAAAAAAAAAAAAAAAAAAAGAGTGAGATTGGCAGGGAGACACGACGGCAAGCCGAACGAACGACCACCAGGGAGCCAGCGAGGGAGACCATCAGGGAGACCACACGGGAGACCGCCAGGGAGGCCACACGGAAGACTCCTCCTCGGGAGACCCCACGGGAGGCGGCCACACGGAAGGCCACCGGGCAGGTCATGGGCCACCCATGCCGGACCCGCAGGACCTCCTTCACATCCCAGCCTTCGAGCAGGGGCAGGCTGGACCCCAGCCTCAAGGGAGGAAAAGCCACCCGGACCGGACAGTAGGCGTTTACGAAACGGCCCTGGGCGTCTACTAAACAGCCCCGCCCTGTCTGATTCCTTCTTTGGGCTCGTTGGCTGAACGGCTTCGCGCGTCGGGGTGGTTATTATCGTGGTGGATGTTCTGCCCTCTACATACGGGCAAGTTGTGTGGGGGGCATCTGATTGCCAGGACACAGGAGCCAGAAGACGGATACGGGGTGGCGCCGGGCAGAACAGGTGGGAGGCGAGGGGAGCGGGAGGCAGCGAGTCCCAGACCCGAGAAGGCACGCGCGCTTCCCCAGCAGGTTGGTTCGTCGTCCTCCCCAGGGGGGGAGGGGGAGAGCAGCGATCAGCTGAGACAGGGGCGACCCGATCAGCAGGCGGAGCTCTGGGATCACGGCAGCAGCTGAGAGCGACCGCCCGCACGAGGAGGGAGGAGGAGGAGGAAGAGGAGGAGGAGGAGGAGGAGGAGGAGGTGGAGGAGGAGGAGGAGGAGGAGGAGGAGGGAGGAGGAGGGAGGAGGGGGGAGGAGGAGGAGGGAGGGGGGAGGGAGAAGGAGACGTCCAGCGCGGCGGCGTTCCACGGGCCTGACTGCGGGCCACGCGAAGGGAGGATCCCCCCGCACGAGGAGCAGCTCAGCCGCCCGTCGGGGGGGAGGGCCAGCCCGACCCTCGTGGGCTCGACGGCGAGCGCGGCCCTCGACCCGCAGCCCGAGCTCCGCCGCCTCGTCCCGGGGGGGGCGGGCGACAGGCCCCGCTCCTGGAAGGCCGCCAGGTGCACGGCCTGGTGCACAGTCCAGTGCTGCCCTGCTCGTGCCTCGCACCACCACGCCTCGTCCTTCTACAAGGGCTCCCACGAGGGCGCGAAGCTCTTCGCGCTTCGCGGTCCTCGTTCCTTCTCCCCCTCCTCGTCCTCCTTTTCTCCCTTTGGGGGGGCGGCGCGAGAGCGCGAAGGTATTCGAGCTTCGCGGAGCGCGAAGCGCGAAGTTGGGAGCCCTAGTTCTAGGCTTAAGTCGGGCCTGTCCCTCTACAGGGGGAATCTCCAAAAAGAGTCAACAAAAATACTCTGGGGACGACTTGTTGGAGCATTATGGGAGCATTGTTTTTTGAGTATGCTTGATTTTCCGCCCACAGTCCCCATGTAGGAGGACAGGCCCGACCTAATTCTAGGCATCGGCGATGCGGCTCGATGTGGAGCCCGATGTTCTCCACGCCGACGTCGCCGATGCGTCGCCGACGTCGGCGGTGCATCGCCGATGCATCGCCGATGCATTGGCGATGCGGCGCGATCCTCTGACCCCATCTACTCCGACCCCATCTAGGAGGCCTCTAGTCTTCTCGGTTTCCTGCCCCGGTCCTCCGCGGAACCGTGCCGCGGAAGTCCAAGGACGGCGCTGTCGCCACACCGTCGGGGGAGCCGGTGGGGGTGCCGGGTCAGCGCACGGTTTCGGCACTCGGGGCGTGCTCCGAGGATGTTTTGGGCGATCGGGGCACCCGAGAGGTCCCAAAACCGTGCTATGAGGTCTTGTGGGATGTCGCGTTCAACGCATGGTGCAGTGGGAGCCCACGCCAAGAAGCACCCTGCTTGCCTCCAGGGTGCCTGAGTTTCTTGGGTGTCGATGGCTTCGCTATGGAAAGCGTGAGACTCCCATATCAAAAATCAATGGACGTCCTGGGGTCTCAGGGTTTGGCTTCTTTTGGCAGGTTTCTTGTGGACTGGCCTCCACTGAATGTCACCGCACACTTATGCGAACCCCCAAGTGTCCTCCTCTCCCTCCATCTCCGCCACACGCAGAGGGGGTAGAGGGAAGGAGGAAGGCTTCTTAGAAGTATCCTGCTTCTTAGAAGGCGCGGGCCTGACCTACAGATGTAGGGCCCGCGCCTTCTTAGATGCAGCCTTCTTCTAAGAAGCCTTCCTTCGCCCCATTCCCCCTAGTGGCCGCCGCCAATCCCCCCTCCACCTCTCACGTCGCCTCATCCTCACGTCCAATCATCCGGATCCTCCGACCTCTTGCCCCTCATCGCCGTCGTCTTCCTCCCCCCCAGGTTCTGCTGGGTCATGCCCGAGGAAATCTTCGGCAGGGCCAACGTTGGCGGGAAGAACGGGGCCTTCGTGTACTTGATGGAGGGCCAGGCCAGTGGGAGAAGGAGGAGGAAGAGGAGGAGGAGGAGGAAGAGGAGAAGGAGGAGGAGGAGGAGGAGGAAGAGGAGAAGGAGGAGGAGGAGGAGGAGGTGGAGAAAGGGGGAAGGGGGGAGGCGAGCACGAGGAGGAGGAATGAGGAGGTGGAGGAGGCGGGAAAGGGCCTCTCGGAGCTTCGCGGCGACCTCCGCAGATATGGTGGCTCAAGGCCGGTCCTGCTCCGTTCTGCGCATCTTGTCGTGTCCTCTGTGCGCGCGGCGCTGGAGCGTTAAAGTCAAGCTGGTGCTGGCGGTGCGGATCGTTGGCGCGGGACGGCATCCCCACAGGGTGCCCAGCTCGGTCGGGCGCGACTGAGCGGACAGACTCGTGTGCGCAAACGCGTGATCACTTGCGACGTTCTGCAGATTGGCTAGTTTAGAAGCTGAGGGAAGAGCTCGCGGCGCTGCGCGATGGCTACGCACGATTTTGGGCATCACGGATGTCTTGAACAGGGTCCACGCGGTGTTGCCATCTTTTATCGCGTTGCATTCGAAGGCGATTGGGTTATATGTCAGGTGTGCATCGGCCTCAGAACTAAAGATGGCGAGGGAAAGGTCCACGACTTTACAGTGTTTGTGGACTCACGGCTGTGCACTGCGCGCTGAGGCCCCGCGTTTTCCACCTGGGACGGGAAGTTGGGAGCCGTTGTCCGACGAGCCCGAGCGGAACAGAGGGTTGGGCGGCTTGCGGTGCACGTGTGGAGTGACCGTTTTCTTTGATTATTGTGGCCCGTCTGATTGAGCGCTTCGTTGCGTTGATGCGCCGAGAAAGCACAGCGGCGTTGGTTCTCGCCCTAGCGCTGCGCCAATTCGTTTTAACAGATGCAGAGTTTCACGGACTGAGGGCGGGGCCGTTTTCAAAGTGTGGTTATTGTTTTTGCGCCGTGCACACTCGTTTCAATCATTGCAAGACTTTTTACGATGTGGTTATCGCCTTGGCCCCGCGCACATTCGCCTGAAGAAAGGAGGATGGGTCGTTTCCAAAATGTGGCTTTCGACTTAACGCCGCGCATTCGCTTTCAAAATTGCAGGAGCTTCACGGATGGAGGGCGGGCAGTTTTCAAAATGTGGTTATCGTTTCAGCGTCGCGCACATTCGCAATTAAAGATGCAAGAGGTTCTCGGATGTAGGGCGGTTCGTTGTCATAAGGCGGGTCTCGCTTTAGCGCCACGCACATTCGTTTTGAACAGGTGCACGAGTTTTGCGTGTTCCAACGTACTAGAAATGGTGATGTGGAAAGATGTAGGACTGTCAGGGCGCGGCATTTATATGGACTCGCAGTGTTCAAGTCCTTGGAACAGCGTTATGGGACGATTCAGGATCGTCAAGACGCAACAGGAAGGTTGAGCCGTGGCGTTGGAGTGCTATGAATGGCGATGGCGCGGTTAATGATTGTCAAACGTTGTCTCCCAACGGGACAGTTCCCTCAGTGGATATGAATCCGCTTCTTCTTTCACCTCGTTCTCCTCCTCCTCCTCCTCCTCCTCCTCCTCCTCCTTCCCTGATCCTCCCCCTACCCCTGTCCTCCCCCTCCTCTTCCTCCTCCACCTCCTCATCCTCCTCCTCCTCCATGCTGTTCCCCACCGTGCCCCCGGCAGGGCTCCTCCCTGCTGTTCCCGGTGCTGAGCGCGTGATTCCCGGGAGCGCGCCCACCCCCCCCGCGCGCCCCCGCGCGCTTGTCGCGCCGAGACTGCGCGTAGGCGGCGGCTCTTTGGGGACATGGGCGCCGCCGACAGAGGGGGGGTTCGTGAGCTGGCTCGGTGGGTGGGTGTCATTATCGTTTAACTGATCCCTCACCCCATCCCAACCACGATCCCCACATAAACATAACTCAGGTCTGCGCAGATTTCTTGGATCGGCGCTGAACCTCCCCGGCAACGCCGCCCCTGGCGCCGCCCCTGGCGCGTTCCGCGCGCCATGGAGGGGGGATCCAGCGCCGATCCGAGACATCCGCGCGGACCTCCGAGTTTTTATCTTGATGTCATTGTTTGTTCCCTACCCATCCCACCACCCTAGTTGGGGGTATGCCCCTCGAGACCTGAAGGGAACAGCCTACATCGCCGTCTAGGGGTGTAAATCGGCCAGGGGGGACCCAGGCCACGCCCGTGTGGATCGGCATTGCTTAAACGATGCTCAGTGGGCTGGCTCGGGGGGGGCGTTCAGCCCAGAGTGGAAGCGAGAGGGGCAGGCCTTCTCTCTGGTCAGAGATGCAAAGTGTCATGATAGTGACACGTTCCAAGAGTTTCAGGGCTTCCCAGGTGTTCGAATGTGCCACACGGGCTGCAAAAGCGATAGCGTGGTTGATGTTCTGGAAATCCTGAAACGCATCCTGAGCCAATCCTATCATGACATAAGTCTCGTCTTATCTGGGCCTCCCAGATGGGGTCGGAGTAGATGGGGTCGGCGGATCGCGCTGCATCGCGGATGCATCAGCGATGCGGCTCGATGTGTAGCCCGATGTTCTCCATGCCGATGTCGACGCATCGCCGACTTCGCCGATCGGCGATGCTTTGACGAAGCGGCGCGTACCGTGGGCGGGCCCACTCAGAAGGCGACGGGGCTTCTTAGAAGCACCCTGGCCTTTGAGTTTGTCTGCGTCGTTGGAGAAGGCTTGGAGAACTGCTCTTGGGTCGGGCATGTCCCTCTACAGGCGGATTTTGGACGAAACATACAGGATAGTAGTAATCATCAACATCAGCAGCTTCTTCATCATCATCATCAGCAGCATCATCATCATCATGAAAATAGTAATAATACGAATATTAATATCAATAAAAACAAAGAATCAAACAAAGTCAAAAAACGTAGTCAACAGAATCGTCCCCAGACTACGTTTGGACTATGTTTGCACAGTCCTCCCGAGGAGGGACAGGCCCGCCTGAAAGCTGCTCCGAAAGCCCGAGGCCCTCCGAGAGCCTTCCCAGAGAGCCCCCGCCCCCGCGGCCTCTTCCCCCCTGCGGGGCTCGCCGACGAGGGGGGGCCTCGGCCCCCGATCCGCCCCGCTCCTGGCCGATATCCAGGGGGAGGTAAAACACACTGGCACAATTGATCGTCGAGTCAGTCCCAGGAAAATATGGGATAATATGGGAAGTGGGGAGAAAGACGAAAACCCAGAAAAGATAGGAACATGTAGGGGAATGATTCTATTTGTGTGCATTTGTTCGTGTGTCCTGGCTGGGGATGTTGGGAATTGTTTTTATGTGTGTGCATTTGTTTGCGTGTCCTGGGGCCCCTTCAGATGTCGGGGCCTGGGCGCCCCCAACCTCCTGCACGCGAGGCAGGCGCGCGGGAGCTCGGCGGGGGCCCCGGTGCAGCAGCTCCTCGATCCTCCTCCTCGATCCTCTTCCTCCTCCTCGATCCTCCTCCTCCTCCCTCCTCCTCCTCCTCCTCTCCTCCTCCGATCCTCCTCCTCCTTCCTCCTCCTCCTCCTCCTCATCCTCCTCCTCCTCCTCCTCCTCCTCCTCCTCCTCCTCCTCCTCCTCCTCCTCCTCGTCCTCCTCTTCCGCTCTCCGCTCTGCGCGAGCGTTCGTATCATGGCGCTGGTCTCGCGGACTGGGGGGCAGTGCTCATGTGCGTGGTTGGGTGCGTGCGTCCTTCGCGGGCTCCCCACTGGTCTAGTCGGGAGCCTTGAGACGGGGGTCAATGCAAACGGGGGTCAGCCAGAGCGCCCCGATCTCGCAGGATCCTGCAGGACCAGGGTCGCACCGACCCTGGCTTGGGTGCAGGATCCTGCGGGGTTTTGCGGGATCCTTCGCGCTGACCCGGGCCTGGGCGCCAGATCTTGCAGGATGCCGCAAGGCCTGACTGACCCGGGTCTAAATCGACCCAGGTCAGAAGGTCCTCGAGATCGTTGATCTCTCAATCTCTCAGCGGCGAGGCGTCGAGGGGGAAGATCGGCACACGGGAAGCATGGGGACGGAGGGGAGGAGTCAGGAGGGAAAAACAAAAACACAGACACGATTGTTCGTCGATTCCCCAGGAAATATGGGAAAATATGGGAAGTGGGGGGGGGAAGACAAAAACCCAGAAAGTATAGGAGAATATGGAGAATCATGTTATGTGTGTCTATTTATTTGTGCGTCCCAGGGCCCCTTCAAGGAGGGCGGACGCCTCCGCGCCCACAAGGTGGCGGGGAGCTCGCGCCCAGCTGGCGGCGCTGCATTGAGCTCGAGCTGCGGCGGGGTCTTTCAGAATTCTCGGCTGCCCTGGACCGATCCCGCTTGGCTTGGCCAGTCGTCGGCGGCGGCAAAGAGGGGGGTGATGACAAGGGGGTGTGGATATCATGGCGGGGGCCATGATATCTCCCCAGATTGCATGATGGCGCCCCTTCTTATTTCATTACGTCCCTGGCCCCCCCGCTGGGCCGCGCACATGCCGCGGGTCATGATTTGCACCCCCCCGTCTTGGACACCCCCCTCTTGGCCGACCCCGAACTTGAGACGGGGGTCAATGCTAATGGGGGTCGGCCCGAGCGCCGGATCTTGCAGGATCCTGCAGAGCCAGGCGTGCTTTGACCCGGGCTTGGGCCTGCGTGCAGGATTCAGCAGGATCTTGCAGGACCCTGCCAAGCCCGACTGACCCAGGTTTGGATCGACCCGGGGTCAGTGGATCCCCGATTGACCGCTACAGTCGGGGCGCTGAAGAAGGAACCCTTTTCGTTGGGGAGGGGCTCGGTGTTCCTTGATTGTTTCAAAAATTGCCTCGGGTTGTCCTGAGGTTTTCCGTGGGAAATCGAGGTTGAACCTATGGGAAAAAGGTGCCTCGTTCCTTATTTAGGGTTCCTTAGGTCAACGCCTCGACTGTAGTTGCATCGTGCCCCCCAAACATGACTTGCACGCAGGTGCTCTTACTGGCTTCTGACTGCCTGGCATGGGATTCGGGGCGTTCGCCCGGTTTCCCGCTCGTGGCCGCCTCGCTGGCTGGTTGGTTGGCGCCGCGGATCTGTCGCACGGCGCCCGCCCGCGTCCTCCTCCTCCTCCTCCTCCTCCTCCTCCTTCTCCTTCTCCTCCATCCCCTCCTCGCTCCTCCTCCTCCCTCCCCCTCCTCCTCCTCCTCCTCCTCCTTCCTCCCCTCCTCCTCCTCCTCCTCCTCCTCCTACCCCTCCCCTCCCTCCCCTCCCCTCACCCCCTCCTCCTCCTTCCTCCATCCTCCTCCTCCTCCTCCTCCCCTCCTCCTCCTCCCCTCCTCCTCCTCCTCCTCCTCCTCCTCCTTCTCCTCCTCCTCCTCGCCGTCCCTCGTGCTCTGGCTGGCGCTTCCGGATGCTTGCCCTGGACCCGCCCGTCGCCGTTGCTTGCGCGGGGTGGGCGCCCGGTGGCCTGCTCGTCGCGGCCTCGTGCGGCTCGCTCGCTTCTTTTCGGGGTGCCCACAGGTTCACGCGCACTGCCTGCACAGCATCGGCTGCCCAGCACATAGAGTACACCGCATAGATAGCGCCACACATCTTGCGCCGCCAAGGCTGCACCCCTGTGAGTAGGTATGTAGGTAGGTAAGTAGGTAGGTAGGTAGGTAGGTAGGTAGGTAGGTAGGCATGCATGCATGGACGGATGGATGGATGGATGGGTGGGTGGATGTATCTGTGTCTGTTTGTATGTATGTAGGTAGGTATGTATGTACTGCAGGGGCAAAAAACATTACATTACCGGAAAAATCGTTTCGATAATTATTTTTCCGCCCTGTAATGACGTCAGCGGGGTTGGGGGGGGATTTCACGATTAGGATTCTACAGAAATTATGGGCCCCCCCCCGACCCCACCTCCACCCAACCTCCCCCAAGGAGATTGGGAGATTTGGTAATTGGAGAAGATCTACAAAGGAAAAAGAGGGAGTGGGGAGGAGTTGGGAATTGGGATTCTACAATAGAAAAAGGAAGAGTTGGGAGGATTTGGGATTGGGGCGGGTTTCTACAAAGATAAAGAAAATTGGGGAAATTTGGAATTGGGGAGGATTCTACAAAAAGAAAAAAGGAGGACTTGGGGAGGATTTGGGAATTGGGGAGGATTCGACAAAGGAAAAGGAGGAGTTGGGGAGGATTTGGGAATGGGGGGGGGGGTTCTACAAAGGAAAAAGGAGGAGTTGGGAAGGATTTGGGAAGTGGGGAGGATTCTACAAAGGAAAAAGGAAGGGTTGGGGAGGATTTGGGAATTGGGGAGGATTCTACAAAGGAAAAAGGAGGAGTTGGGGAGGATTTGGGAATTGGGGAGGATTCCACAAAGGAGAAAGGGGAATTTGGGAGGATTTGGGGATTGTGGAGGGTTCTACAAAGGAAAAAGGAGGAGTTGGGAAAGATTTGGGAATTGGTGAGGATTCTACAGAGGAAAAAGGAGGAGTTGGGGAGGATTTGGGAATGGATTGGGGATTCTAGAAAAGGAAAAAGGAGGAGTTGGAGAGGATTTGGGAATTGGGGAGGATTCTACAAAAGAAAAAAGAGGAGTTGGGGAGGATTTGGGAATTTGGAAGGATTCTACAAAGGAGAATGGAGGAGTTGGGGAGGATTTGGGAATTGGGAAGGATTCTACAAAGGAAACAGGAGGAGTTGGGGAGGATTTGGGAATTTGGGAGGGTTCTACAAAGGAAAAAGGAGGAATTGGAGGGGATTTTGGAATTGGGGAGGATTCTACAAAGGAAAAAGAAGGAGTTGGGGAGGATTTGGAAATTGGGGAGGATTCTACCAAGGAAAAAGAGGAAGTTTGGGAGGATTTGGGAATTGGGGAGGATTCTACAAAAGGAAAAAGAGGGAGTTGGGGAGAATTTTTGGAATTGGGGAGGATTCCACAAAGGAAAAAAGAGGAGTTGGGGCGGATTTTTTGGCATTGGGGAGGATTCTACAAAGGAAAAAAATGAGGCGTTGGGGAGGAGTTTGGAATTGGGGAGGATTCCACAAAGGAAAAAGGACAAGTTGGGGAGGATTTGTGAATTGGTGAGGATTCTACAAAGGGAAAAGGAGGAGTTGGGGAGGACTTCGGAATTGGGGAGGATTCTACAGAGGAAAAAGGAGGAGTTGGGGAGGATTTAGGAATGGGGGAGGATTCTTCAAAGGAAAAAAGGAAGAGTTGGTGAGGAGTTGGGAATTGGGGAGGATGCTACGAAGGAAAAAGGAGGAGTTGGGGAGGATCTGGGAATCGGGGAGGATTGTACAGAGGAGAAGGGAGAGTTGGGGAGGATTTTGGAATTGTGGGGGATTCTACAAAGGAAAAGGATGAGTTGGAGAGGATTTTGGAATTGGGGAGGATTCTACAAAGGAAAAAAGATGAGTTGGGAGAATTTTGAATGTGGAGGTTTTCTAAACAATTAGAAAAAAATTGAAGGGATCTAGGATTGGTGAGGGTTCTACAAAGAAAAAAAAGAAAAAGAGGAGTTGGGGAGGATTCACGGAAATGTGAGATTCTACAACCGAAAAGATGATTTGTGAATTTGAATTGGAAGAATTCCACCCAAAAAAAAAAAAGAAAAAGAAGAGAGTTGGTGAGGCATTTGGAATTGGAGGATTACACAGAGGAGAAAAGATGAGTTGGGGAAGATTTGGGAATTGGGGAGGATTCTACAAAGGAAAAAAGAGGAGTTGAGGATGATTTTGGAATTGGGGGGGGTCCTACAAACGAAAAAGGAGGAGCTGGAGAGGATTTGGGAATTGTGGAGGATTCTACAAAGGAAAAAAGATGAGTTGGGGAGGATTGGGAAATTGAGGTGAGTTCTACCACGGAAAAAGGAAGAGTTGGGGAGGATTTGGGAATTTGGGAGGATTCTAAATTCTACGAAAAAGAAAAAAAAGAGTGTTTTTGGAGATCTGTATTTGGGAGATTCTACATAAGGAAAAAAGGGGTTGGGGAGGATTTGGGAATTGGGAAGGATTCTACACATGAAAAAAGAAGAGTTGGGGAGGATTTGGGAATTGAGGAGGATTCTACAAAGGAGGGAGGAAGAGTTGGGGAGGATTTGGGAATTGGGGAGGATTCTACAAAGGAGAATGGAGGAGTTGGGGAGGCTTTGGGAAGTGGGGAGGATTCTACAATGGAAAAAGGAAGAGTTGGGGAGGATCTGGGAATTGGAGAGGATTCTACAAAGGAAAAAGGATGTGATCGGGAGGATTTGGGAATTGGGGAGGATTCTACAAACGAAAAAGGATGAGTTGGGGGGCATTTTGGGAATTGTGGGGGATTCTACAAAGGAAAATGGAGGATTTTGGAATTGTGGAGGATTCTACAAAAGGAAAAAGGAGAGTTGGGGGGGATTTGGGAATTGGGGAGGATTCTACAAAGGAAAAATGATGAGTTGGAGAGGATTTGGGAATCGGGGAGGATTCTACAAACGGAAAAAGGAATAGTTGGGGAGGATTTGGGAATTGGCGAGGATTCTACAAAAGGAAAAAGGAGGAGTTGGGGAGGATTTGGGAATTGTGGAGGATTCTACAAAGGAAAAAGGAGGAGTTGGGGAGGATTTGGGAATTTGCGGAGGATTCTACAAAGGAGAAAGGGGAGTTGGGGAGGATTTGGGAATTGGAGAGGGTTCTACAAAGGAAAAAGGAGGAGTTGGGGGAGATTTGGGAATTGCGCAGGATTCGACAGAGGAAAAAGGAGGAGTTGGGGAGGATTTTGGGAATTGGGGAGGCTTCTACACGGGAAAAAGGAATAGTTGGGGAGGATTTGGGAATTGAGGAGGATCCTACAAAGGAAAAGAGAGGAATTGGGGAGGATTTGGGAATTGGGGAGGATTCTACACAGGAGAAAGGAGGAGTTGGGGAGGATCTGGGACTCGGGGAGGATTCTACAAAGGAAAAAAGGAGGAGTTTGGGGAGGATGTCGGAATTTGGGAGGATTCTACAAAGGAGAAAGGAGGAGTTGGGGAGGATTTGGGGAATTGGGGAGGATTCTACAAAGGAAGAAGGATGAGTTGAGGAGGATTTTGGAATTGCGGAGGATTCTACAAAGGAAAAAGGAGGAGTTGGAGAGGATTTGGGAACTGGTGAGGATTCTACACAGGAAAAAGAAGGAGTTGGGGAGGATTCGGGAATTGGGGAGGATTCAACAAATGAAAAAGGAGGAGTTGGGGAGGATTCGGGAATTGTGGAGGATTCTACAAAGGAAAAAGAAAGAGTTGGGGAGGATTTGGGAATTGGTGAGGATTCTACAAAGGAACAAGGAGGAGTTGGGGAGGATTTTGGAATTTGGGGAGGATTCTTCAAAGGAAAAAGGAGGAGTTGGGGAGGATTTGTGAATTGGGGAGGATTCTACAAAGGAAAAAGAAAGATGAGTTGGGGAGGATT